TAGTAGGTAGCTCTAGAGAGGAGACTTCTCCTAGAGCTAGGCTTTTTCCAAATCGTTAGATTCACATCCTAACGTGTTATTCTCGGGTGCTTACGGCTCTGCGGGCTCTGTAGGCTCCTTCTCTAGATTAACGTTCTTAATAGCTTTCTGCGCGGCAGGGGCTCTAGAGTAATTACGGCTTAGGTAGCTAGGTTAGTAGCATTAAAAACAGGTAACTAGCTTCTAGATTGCTAGGGCTTTATTAGGTGCTAAAAAACCTAGAAGAGCTAGGGGCGCGCGTTGTAGCATTAACGCGATCGCGTTACGCTTTTTAGCCTTCCTAGCAGCAACGCGTGCTTCTCCTAGGGCAAGCTCTTGCGCGAGGTCTTAAGCAAGGTCTATATAGTAATTGTAGTTATCGACGCATTAACGTTAGTATATCCCTAACTGCGTGCGCATAGTCTCTAGCAGCTTCTTATAAAATTCCTCTACCTATTAATCTACTAGGAGCTAACGCTCCTGTGCAAGGCGGAAGAAATTATTCTAGAAACGGGCGAAATTAGTAGCGCTTTAGTAATAAAGCTTCTAGAAATCGTGGCAAGCGTTTAGCCCCTTGTGTGGGTCTCTATAGCTTCTCTCTAGCTAATTAAGAATATAATTATAGGAAACTGCTACGCCGCTGTTCTTAATTGTTCGTAGTATCGCTAACAGGGTCTAGTACGCGTCTCCTTTAGTTTGCGTGCGGATATAGGCAACAACAGTTTTCTTAGTATTCTCTAGCGTATCTCTAGTATACTAATTCTAGTTTGCTTAAAGTTTGTTCTACAAGCTATCTCTCTACTACTTAAAGGTAACACTCTTACTATCTAATAATAAGGGTAGATCTAGGAACTTAGCGGAGCGCGTTAATTAGCTCTCCTGCGCTTGCGACGCTAGAGGTGTAGCTAGCTAGTATACAGAGGGGCGAGGACCTAGAATTAAATCCTCTAGCAGCAACGCGCTTAAATCGCGTATAATTAGTGTTGTAGGGAAACGCGTCGCGCGTAGAACTAGCGCAGCGGGCTAGTCTCTAGAGCGAGTTAATCGCGCTCGTAGTTGCTAGATTTTAGCGTCTTTTTTAGCTAGGGTAGTAGCCTATATCTAATTTCTCGCGTATACATTATCTCCCTTAGCGAGAGCGTCGGCGGCGATCTAGCAATACATGTAGATTTGTTGTTTATGTACCTATTGTATATATAATTAGCTAACTATTTTGTTAACAATTTTAGCTAGCGTTTCTAGGAAGAGCTCTTAGAGCTCTTTGGCGGAGGCAGAGAGTGTAAACAAACCTAAGGCCGACGATAGCTCTAGTATTACTAAGCTCTAGCGGAGCCTTGCGAGCTTCTAGTTAAAGTTGTTGTCCTAATTCTCGTTAGTTATCGCGTTGTGTTGCCAAACAGAGTTTTCGCGATAGAAATATTAATTAGTATATCCTATAGGCAGGTTCGCTGCCCTGAATTCGAGGACCGTCGGGGTAAAGGGGTATTGTAGAGCCGAGGTCCTGCCTCTAGATTAGCTTCGCGAGGGTTCTCCTATAGTGTTTAGATTTGTTTAGCTTTTCGATTAAGAAAGAAGCGAAGGGGGGGGGGAGAGAGAGAGTTTCTGCACGTAGGAGTTCTATAGAAGTCCTCCCGTACACAGAGCTCTCGATAGCTCTCTTTAGCTTAGTGCTAGTATCTTTCTACCGCTAACTAGATTCACTAGTAGTCTTATGCAGCGCTAAGGGGTAAGCAATTAATTAGTACGTTAATAGATCCTTAGAGTAAGCAACCAGGCTCTCGTAGCTCTAATCCTTAGTGTTAGCCGTTAGTAAACGCTTCTTAACAAGGCTACTTAGTTTAGCTAGATATTATGCTGCCGTCTCCGGCCGAAGAGGTATTAACCTTTAGATAATGTAAGGGCTAGGTCCGCGGTCTCTACTGCTATAAGCGTCCCCAAACACCTAGCTAGGTAAGTCGGCTGCAGGCAGCACTATCTCCACGAGCTGTAAGGATAAGGGGTGCTAGCAGGGTAGGTTAGGTCAAATTCAGCTATCCAAAGGTAAGAAGCAGAAGAAAGGCTTCGAGAGGCTCTATATACAGAGGTGCCGAGCGCCAAGGCGCTAGGCCAGGTTACGTAATCGAATTACGTAACCCGAGGTTATGTAACCTAAGGTAAATCTCTAAACTAGACCGTTATAGTAATACGACGCCGTAGAGAAAGCTACTAAAATTACATAAAGTAATATCGCGAAAGCGTAAGCTAGGTAGGCGCTCTAAGTAAATAAAAAGCGCTAAGAACCTAATTTTGTAGTAAGTAACCTTGTCTACGTTAAACCTTATAGCTTTTTAATAGATTAGCCTAGTATAAAGCTAAATTAATAGATATATAGCTCTTACCTAATTATTACTATAAAGAGTTACTTCTT